CATGTATATTTGGTCGAAGGAAAAAGCCAAAGAAGTGGGTGGAAGGAAAAGGGGTTTTACTGTAAAGGGGCAATACACTAAGAAAGGAATGTACAACTTCACAAAAGTAATATTATGGAACCCACAGTAATGCAGTCAGTAGAGACTCAGATTATGATAATGGTCTGTAGGATACATGCAGCCCAAATACTTGAGTAAAACCCATTAGATGGAGCCTAGCTGATGAACCCATCATCCCCCATTTCCAAGAAGAGAGTGGTCTGTTGCCTATGGATTCATCTTCATTTCCAGCCTACACCAAAGAGGGCATCAAATAAAGAGATAGATTTTAGCCTCTACCAGGATGAATTCCTCCAGCTTCAGATCATCTAATAACTTGTCTTTGAACAATATATTGCAGCCAATCATCGTTTATCCTAGGAGCCATGCACTATCTGTAACCTTCTCACTAGATACCACTCTATAAAGTAATATTAAATGTTGTTATCACCAGTATTCCCTGATAGCGCAGCATGTTAAAACACTGAACTGCTGAACTTGCCAACCCAAAGGTTGGTGGTTTGAATCTGCAGGATGGGGTGCACTCCCATTATTAGACCCAGCTTATGCCAAACTAGCAGTTCGAAAATGTGCAAATGTAAATAGATCAATAGGTTCTGCCTTGACAGGAAGGTAATAGCGCTCCATGCAGTCATACTGGCCACATAATCTTGGAGGCGTCTACGGACAAAGCTGGCTCTTCAACTTAGAAATGGAGATGAGCATCACCCCCCAGAGACAGAAATGACTAGACTTAATGTCAGAGGAAACGTTTACTTTTATCTATCTCCAGAAAAAGTGAGTCCACACTTAGCAGTCTATCACCAACGTACAGTATGTCCCAAATATTGTATCATTTTGCACAGCCATGAGTTTGGGCTGGAAAAAGTAATTTTAACCCAATTTCCATGGCTGTTGTTGTTCATTCGTTCAGTCATCTCTGACTCTTCGTGACCTCATGGACCAGCCCACGCCAGAGCTCCCTGTCGGCCGTTACCACCCCCAGCTCCCTCAAGGTCAGTCCAGTCACTTCAAGGATGCCATCCATCCATCTTGCCCTTGGTCGGCCCCTCTTCCTTTTGCCTTCCACTTTCCCCAGCATAATTGTCTTCTCTGGGCTTTCCTGTCTCCTCATGATGTGGCCAAAGTACTTCAACTTTGTCTCTAATTTCCATGGCAGATCTCTTGATATGGCATCAAGATCGTGATGCCCACTGGCCCACCACATGCCTTGCCTATTTCTGCCTTTTATTCGGAGGGCAAGGGGAAAAGGACTCAATGTGAATAAGAAATACACGAGCAGCTCTTGTTTGAGGAAGAAAACGCAGGGAACAACTTAATGCAGTTGCCAAGCAGTAGCTTATTGTATGTGACGCCCCTTCGTTTTTCTATTCTGTGTTACATCCTGTATTAAATTGATATGAAACTTAAACTTGGGCAAAAGCCCAAGCAGGAAAATACTTTGCAAGTTCAGAAGTTTATATATTCTTTTAAAATAATTTATATCCCATAGCATCGGGTTATTCCCACCAGAGAATGCCAACTTATTTTTCATTTAGACAATTATTTTTCATTTAGTGAGAGACACTTTTGGGCCTACTGCCAGAACAACTTCACCCGAGGTGCTCAATAATCTCTTGGAAACTCACAGCCTGTCATATTTTTATGCTCTAGCATAAAACACTATTTTTGAATGACTATATTGTCGGCACACATGGATTAATTTCAAGCCAGCAACAAATATGAGAGGGAAACTGACAAAAATACCAGGGCTGCAAATCATGCAATTAAAAGAATGCCAGCAATAAAGTGTAATTCAGGACTATGGCTGTAAGCTAATTATGGATTTATTCAGTCATCATTGCCCTCTTAAATGACTGAAGATAAATAACGACATTTCACTATCAATAAAGTTGATATTCTTTACTGGAGGAAACAATGCATTACTTGTTGTTCATTATATGTTACTCAATGCACAATGTGTGATCCATTACTTTTACATTACTTCACTAACTACATACTTTTATTTATTTATTTATTTATTTATTGTATTTATTTACTATATTTGTATACCGCCTTTCTCAGCCCATGGGCAACCCCGAGACAGTTGCTGGGCAAAATTCAATGCCCAGCAACTTCATAAAACATTTAAAACATTTTACATTGTTATTTAATTGTAATTTTTTAAATCTTAAAAATGGAGAAATGTCCAAACAATGAAAATAACCCCTTTTCAACTATCAGTAGTATGTCACTTTGGATAGCCAAAATAATAATGATGCCTGCAGTGATTTCACTGTGTTGTTGTAGGTTTTTCCGGGCTATATGGCCATGTTCTAGAGGTATTTTCTCCTGATGTTTCGCCTGCATCTATGGCAAGCATCCTCAGAGGTAGTGAGGTCTGTTGGAAGTAGGAAAATTGGTCCATATATCTGTGGAATGACCAGGGTGGGACAAAAGACCTTTGTCTGCTGCAGCTAGATGTGAATGTTTCAACTGACCACCTTGATTAGCATTTAATGGCTTGGAAGTGCCTGGGGGGAATCTTTCGTTGAGAGTGATTTGATGTGTCTGATTGTTTCCTCTCTGCTGTTTTGCTGTTGTAATTTTTGAGTTTTTTAATACTGGTAGCCAGATTTTGTTCATTTTCATGGTTTCTTCCTTTCTGTTGAAATTGTCCACATGCTTGTGGATTTCAGTGGCTTCTCTGTGTAGTCTGACATGGTGGTTGTTGGTGTGGTCCAGCATTTCTGTGTTCTCAAATAATATGCTGTGTCCAGGTTGGTTCATCAGGTGCTCTGCTGTGGCTGACTTCTCTGGTTGAAGTAGTCTGCAGTGCCTTTCATGTTCCTTGTGTTTGGGCAATGCTGCGTTTGGTGGTCCCTATGTAGACTTGTCCACAGCTGCATGGAATACGGTAGACTCCTGCAGAGGTGAGAGGATCCCTCTTGTCCTCTGCTGGAAGTAGCATTTGTTGGGTTTTCTTGGTGGGTCTGTAGGTGGTTTGTATGTTGTGTTTCCTCATCAGTTTCCCTATGTGGTCAGTGGTTCCCTTGATGTATGGCAAGAACACTTTTCCTCCCGGTGGATCTTCATCGTTACTCTCCTGGCTTGTTCTCAGTCTTGCAGCTCTTCTGATGTCTGAGGTGGAATATCCATTGGCCTGTAGAACCCAGTTGAGGTGGTTCAGTTCATCTTAGAGGAGGTGGGGTTCGCAGATTCTTTTTGCACTGTCTGCCAAGGCTTTAATTGTGCTTCTTTTTTTACTTGGGTGATGGTTGGAGTTTTTATGTAGATATCTATCTGTGTGTGTGGGTTTTCTGTAAACGGTGTGATTACATTATTTCACAAAAATAAACTAATCATGAGTAATTCTGTCAACATTACTACTCACCCCCCATTGGTAATTTACACATAATAATCTTACTTGGAAACTATTCTTCCTAAGCTCTGAGTAAAAACCAGATACATAACAATGGGTTGGGCCCAATGGTTCAGGCCCAGACTATTTGAAAAACTGTACCTCTGCATACAAACCAGTTTGGACACTGCAATCTGCAGAGGAGGCCCTGCTCTCAGTCCCACCCCTATTTCAAGCACAGTTGGTGGGAATGAGAAAGGGAGCCTTCTCCATGATTGCTCCCTGCCTCTGGAACATCCTTCCTAAAGAACTAAAAATGGTCTCCTCCCTTCTCTCCTTCAAAAAACTTCTAAAAACTCACCTATGTACCCTAGCCTATGGACAGGAGGAGGATTATCATTGTATATATCCTTGCCTACACATTCTCTTAGTTTTAATGTTTTAGTATAATTTTTAAGAGTCTATAGATCAGTGGTTCTCAACCTGGGGTCCCCAGATGTTTTTGGCCTACAACTCCCAGAAATCCTAACAGCTGGTAAGCTAGCTGGGATTTCTGGGAGTTGTAGGCCAAAAACATCTGGGGATCCCAGGTTGAGAACCACTGGTATAGATTAATATGTTGTACATTTGTGTATGGTATTATGTTATGTTTATTTAAATTTGCTGTTTTATAATTTTATCGAGTTTGTTTACCCCACTGTTTGATTTGTTATCTGTTGTTTTTGGCATTGAATGTTTGCCACTATGTCCCCTGAGTACCCTCGGAGAAATAGGGTGGGTTATTAATATTAATAATAATAATAATAATAATAATAATAATAATAATAATAATTCTTACACAAGTTCAAAAAATTGTAGCTGTTGTCTTGGCTATAAAAATACAGCAAAATTCCAGATAAAGCAACATGATTTAGTTTCCAACATTTAAAACTATCTACACACATTTTCCTGACAGCTGTCCTTGATGCTGACTAATAGGGAGGGATTGGTCCTTGGAATCACAGTAATTGGGACTTTAGAGGAACTGACTGCAATGCTAGAACTCATGACTCTGGGACAGGACAAAGAAAGTTATAGTCCAACAGGAACCTTTCTGGAAAGGTGACTGTATCAAGCTCAGGGAAATACTCAGTGAAGTATCATTACTAGAAACACTAAAGGAAAAGAAACCCATCCTGAAATATCAATAGCTAAAAGTATAATCACAAACCATTCTATGGAAGATGAAAAGTGGGAAACATCTGAAAAAGCCAATGTGCAGCCGGCAACAGCCTCAACACGGGATCGGTACTTTTAATAATACTGCAATATCTATAATTTAAAATAACGACGCACTTACATTTTTAGAAGCTACAAGTCTTTAAAAAGTAAACAAAATATTTTATAATTAAAAGGAAATACTTAAAAGAAAAGGATGTCTTTCGGGAAAAAAAGAAAGGAAATGTCATTTTATTTCACAAAAGAATTGCACCATTTTTAAAAGAATTACAGCTGCCACAAATTGTTCTCAACAATTCCTAAGCTTCTTCATTTGACCACTTGAAAATCAAAGTTCCTTAAGATGATAAATATAGCTTCTTATAGCTCTGTTATTACATACTGTATATGAGGAAAGGGGCCCAATCTGATTGCCATAGCGTCGAATGGCCTCTCTGATGTGGGCAGGCTGGATGGCATCGCTCTGGGCCTCTCCGCCACAAGCTGCAGTGCTCTGCAAAAGACAGACACACACACACACAGAGTGTTGGAATCAAAAACACACAAATGTATACACTGGGTGCTGATTGTGAAAACTGACCTAGACACATGACTTCTGTTATTGTTCTTTATTATTGTTTCAGTTTGTGCTTTATAGATTATAGCAAGACTTTGATTCTTTAGATTATGAAAACTTTTGGCTTGTGCCGCAATGTTTTATTGTCCTGATGCATAATCTGTTGGGAGAGAATAAAGAGAAACTGGATAGTTTTCAATCAGTAAGGGGGTCAAGCAAGGTTGCATATTATCACCTTGTCTCTTTCACTTGTATGATATATAGATGGCACCATACTACTAGCAGTAAACAACAACAACTTGGAATTATTACTGGAAGAAAATGCAAACGTGTGTTTGCAATTGAACACCAAGAAAACAAAAATAATAACTGGGTTGTTGTAGGTTTTTTCGGGCTGTATGGCCATGTTCTAGAGGCATACTCTCCTGACGTTTTGCCTTCATCTATGGCAAGCATCCTCATAGGTTGTGAGGTCTGACCTCACAACCTCTGAGGATGCTTGCCATAGATGCAGGCAAAACGTCAGGAGAGAATATCTCTAGAACATGGCCAAACAGCCTGAAAAAACCTACAACAACCCAGTGATTCCGGCCATGAAAGCCTTCGACAATACAAAAATAATAACTACAGATTATTTATATAACTTTTAAGCAGATGGTAAAAACAATAAAATAATGCAAGATTTTTCATACCTTGGCTCTGTCATTAATTGGAATGGACACTGCAATCAAAAAATCAGAAGGACAAAGACTAGAGACACCGACGATTTAGGTCAGTTTGAAACTGGTATTGAAGAAAGCAGTTTCACTGTGTGTATGTTTGGACTGTAAATTCTGGAAGAAGACTTGGAAGGTGATTACACATATGCAGAAGCTGGCCTGCAAAGGGTTCCAGGATCTGCAGTATTAGTAGCTTGACAGCAGCAGAGAATATAGTTTATTTTTTCAACTCCCCCTTCTGGAATGCACGTGTGTACATCAGTGGTGTGCTTTGGCTGCCCACACAGCAATTTGAATTTGCAGAGCAAATTTCACCATGCAATGCAATTTATACTACAGCTTCCTCATGCACGTTAAGGGCTTTGTTTTGGACTCTCCCTTGACTTTGCTTGTGTTAGATTACTGGGTTTACAGCACACTGTAAAACACTTTCATGTCACGTGTAGTCTAACTGCCACATTTTGAAGATAGCTTGAAACTGCATTTATTTGTGAAGTGTAGATGGGGCCTTGAAGAGTAGAAATGAAGGAAGCTTACAAGTTCCTGAGGTGTAATAACGATATATCTTTGAAATGTTAGGATGTCCCATTTCTATGTCTGGTTGTGAAAGTTGGACAATGAAGAAAGCAGAAAGGAAAAAATGAATCCATATGAAATGTGGTGCTGGAGAAGAGTTCTGCAGGTACCATTGACTGCTAAAAAGACAAATAAATGGGTTCCAAAGCAAATCAATCCTGGATTCTCCCTTGAAACCAAAATGACAAAACGGAGACTGTCAACGTTTGGAGATTAATTTGGCCTTTCCATGGGTTACTCTGGATTAGCCTTCTGTGGCATGTAGCAACCACAGTATTTTGGACAGTCCAAAAAGCATGGATGAGGAGATGCTGGTGGAAGGCTCAGTGGTCGAGCTGGAGCCCAGCAGCTCCCTCAGCCAAGCTTAGAAGCAGCACCCGTGGAAGGAACTACTACTTCTCAGCCTGCAGAACAAGTACAAGCGAGTTCCTCTCAGCAGGACAAGGAGAAATTAACTGTTCCAGCTTTTGTGGACCTCTGAAGAGAGAAGTCTTCGCTATTGTGACTAGTTGAGAAGAGAGCCAGCAACAGCTAAGTCCTGTGAACTTCAAATTTAAGGAATTCAAGGGTTGCACCTTGTTGCTTCCTAGAGCATCAGTCCTAGAAGCTATGATCTTGGATTCTTGCTATTTTCTGTTAGTATTTGGGGTTGAGGCTTCTAATATGCAGGGTCAGTCAAGGAAACCAGGTTCTGAGTATGTAAGACCTGAGAAGGGTAGAGGGTGAATTGGAAGTTTCTAGGCAGAGTCTGGATGGCCATCTGTCAGTACTTTGATTGCATTCTCTTTCATGGCATGGCCTCTGTAATTCTACTTTTTGTTTCTATGAGATCTCTTACACATAGGATCTCCATAAATTAAAGTTCAATTGATAGCAGTTAACAACAACATGGACATAAAGTGAAATTTATTGTGGTACAATATTTTGCCATTTGGACTCATTTGGGGAAAATATCTTTTCCCATAAACATTTGTGACTGAGTTATTACTGTATCTCAGATTTTTAGGATGAGTGGAGCATATAATAGTGTTTTGGGCTTAGAAAATAACCACAAAAATGCTTGTGAACATGTTACAAATAACAATAACAGTGCGATCTAAAAACATGACAGAATGAAGTGGTGGTATCAGACATGACATAACAATCTCCAAGTTAGGCACATGTTTATATAAGCTTTCCTATTTCAGTTCAGCCTTACCATTGATTTTCTCGATAAAGTAATGTCAGGACATGATTTTATGAATTATTTATTCTATTATTGTTGTACTTAGTTTCTGATCTTTAGATGACAGTGTAAATTGAGCCCAGATGGGCTGAAAAGGTACAGATCACATTTATCTGTAATACTCCTAACATTCCTGCAGCTTTAGTGACAGGACAACACTATTTCCTGATTTCAGGAAGAACTATTTCTCTGGGTTGTTGTAGGTTTTTTGGGTTGTATGGCCATGTTCTAGAAGCATTCTCTCCAGATGTTTTGCCTGCATCTGTGGCATGCATCCTCAGAGGTTGTGAAGATGCATGCCACAGATGCAGGTGAAACTGTCAGGAGGGAATGCTTCTAGAACATGGCCATACAACCCAAAAAACTTACAAAAACCCAGTGATTCTGACCATGAAAGCCTTTGACAATATGTTGAACTATTACTCTCTCTTAAGTGAAGTACTGTTTGAGAAATCACACTGCCCAAAATAAGAAAAAGCAAGTTTTTAAAATGCTGTAACAGAATGCTGTTTTGAAGATGCTGAAAGATGTGTCTCTGCTATCTTCAGCTTACCTTCTTTCTCTTTCGCTGTTTGACTTTAGATGACTCTTGTCCGAGGCTACCGTTTCCCATGGTCCCTGACTGAATTTTCCCAAACAGCTGTGGGCCTGTTGAAGGAGGAGTGGGTGTTGGTGGCGGTGTGTTTTCAGGGGAATCTGGGCTGCCCTTCATACTTGCTGTCTGTCCTGCTACATGCATCTAAAAATAACAAAAAAAAATGAAACATAGTTGTCAATCTACCGTTCTCTGAATATGACCCTAAAGTTTACACATCAGGGAACACAGACATGGACACATATAATTTCTGGAGCTTGGTCATAAGCTGTATCTTTCTATGTATAGCAATAATATTAAAATGGCATTTACTTAACCAGGGAAATCCACAAAAAGTCTGAATGGCAGCCAATAATATAACCTTAATTGACACCTTCCCAGTCAGTATCAACTGCAAGCAAAATTACTTGCAAACAGGAGGGGGAAGAGGCTAAAGAAAGTATTGCCTACTAACGCATATATCCATTAATACAGGGCAGGTGGCTTTTGTGGGATGCAAGCATACAAAAACGTAGCCAAACATTCACATGGAGATGGAAACAACTTTCTCAAGGAAGGAAGGGATTTGGGCTCAAACCAGCTGGTAGCCCCCAGCACTACTTCTACTGCCTGAAATTTGAGAGGAAGGGCTTGAACTGATATTTAAGCTCATATAATTTTTATTGCTATTGCTACAACAAAATCAACACACAATATAGGTAGGTTTATATTTACCTCAGCAGAATTGTGATACTGAACAAAAGTAGCAGATATTGCATGACTAAAGGGGTCACCAGCTTTGGGAGTCATGTCTTGCTTCACCAAAAGGGCCAGGTCCACCAGCTAAGAGAACAAGGATAGTATTTTTTTTAATGTTTAAAGAGCAAAATTACTAACTCATTTTCTCCTTAATGAAGACAGATCTATACTATATGAATATAGACACTTTTAAAGCAAATATGACAAATGTGTAGCCTTTCAGATAATGGGTTGTTGTAGGTTTTTTCGGGCTGTATGGCCATGGTCTAGAGGCATTTCTCCTGACGTTTCGCCTGCATCTATGGCAAGAATCCTCAGAGGTAGTGAGGTACCTACCTCTGAGGATGCTTGCCATAGATGCAGGCAAAACGTCAGGAGAAATGCCTCTAGACCATGGCCATATAGCCCGAAAAAACCTACAACAACCCAGTGATTCCAGCCGTGAAAGCCTTCGACAATACTTTCAGATGTTTGATTGCAATAGCTAAGAGCACAAACTAGCATATACAATGAGTGGTAAATGACAAGAGTTGCACTTCAGCAGATTCTTAGAAGGTCACATGTCTCCTGCTGCTTTAACATTGCAATTATCAATTTAGTACTGGAAAATAAGGCATACACTACATCTTGTGCATAATGTATGTCTGTATCCTTGCCTTTCATATGCTGGCAGGTAAGTAAATTAAAAGGTAAAGGTTTCCCCTTGACATTAAGTCTAGTCGTGTCCGACTCTATGGGGTAGTGATCATCTCCATTTCTAAGCCAAAGAGCCAGCGTTGTTCATAGACACCTCCACGGTCATGAATGCATGGAGCGCTGTTACCTTCCCGCAAAAGCAGTACTTATTGATCTACTCACATTTGCATGTTTTCAAACTGTTAGATTGGCAGAAGCTGGGGCTAACAGCAGGAGCTCACCATGTTCCCCGGAGCCCCCAGTGGCACAGTGGGTTAAACTCCTGTGCCGGCAGGACTGAAGACCGACAGGTCGCAGGTTCGAATCTGGGGATAACGCAGATAAGCTCCCTCTATAAGCTCCTGATCGTCATGCGGGGACATGAGAGACGCCTCCCACAAGGATGATAAAAACATCAAAAACATCTGGACGTCCCCTGGGCAACGTCCTTGCAGACAGCCTATTCTCTCACACCAGAAGCGACTTACAGTTTCTCAAGTCGCTTCTGACACGACAAAAAAAAACCCTGTTCCCCGAATCTGAATCACTGAGCTTTCAGTCGGCACGTTCAGCAGCTCAGCGGTTTAACCTGCTGCACCATGGGAGCTGAAGTAAATTACCAAGTGAATTTTCAGTTATGACCCAGAAAAAAAATTGTGAATCAAACAGATCTTGCATATGATAGCCTTAAAAAATAGGTTTATTAAAAAAAAACTGTAGTAAAAGGGCAATCAATTTCTATAATTATGCAAAGAATATAGTGCACCCACTTACCTGTGCTACAGTCTCATAGGCTAAATAAGCCAACATTTCCATGGCAACTGCATTCGGTTTTATTTCCATGCTGCTACAGTCCAGCCAATCTCGGAATTTAGAAGCTTTCTTGGCTATGCATATAAAACACAACATAAGTGTAACATTAATAAGGTATGCTCTTTCACACATAACACTGTTTATTTTCATATAGGTAGCTACATATGAAGATTAAGAACCCTTCCAGACACGCCCTATATCCCAGGGTCTGATCCCAGGCTTTCTGCTTTACAGGGGATGGCATTTCACAGCTGGGAAGCCACAAGAAAAAGTCATCTTCCTTACCAGCAAATGATATATACGTGCCTGACTGTCAGGACAAGTCAAAGATATTTTGCCTCAAGAGGAAAACAAAATACTGCACTATCAACTCCGTTCATTTATTGACTGGATTAGCATTTAGAACTTTACTCCATAACTGGTGGGTGAATCTTTTTATCACAGTAGAAGCAATAGGCGAGTCTGGTTGTTTAGTATACTTAGCATACTCAGCAGAGTCCTACACCTGGGAGGAAGAGCAGGGACATTAGGGACAAACTGCTCTTCTTCTCACAATTCCACTTGTGTGCTTTGCTTTGAGTGCTGGATGTTGGGAAGTCTCAGAGAATACTTTTCTGTGTTTGTGTGTACGTCCTTTCAACTCTTATTGCGATCCCATGAATTCCATATGGTTTTCTTTGGCAAAAAATACATGGGAAGGTTTGGCCAGTCCCTTCCTCTGAAATATAGCCTACAGCACCTGGTATCTGTTGGCAGTCTCCCATCCAAATACTAACCAGAACTAAACTTGTTTAGCTTCCAAGATCAGACAGGATCCGGTCACTTTAAAGTATTTGGGCTCAAGAATGCTATTACCATGTTTTTATTTTTAAATGCTTTCTGAGTTCAAGGATTTTCTTTTCTGTTATTCTGAATACTGAAGATTTATACTGGCAAAGCCTTGATTATAATTATTAGGTGCAAAAAGTGAGTTTATTACAAAGTTTTCAAACACAGAAATGATTTCAATCTGAAGAATCCTCAGCCTAACCACTTACAGATGTCATACAATGATCTAAACAGAGCTCACCAAAACAAAAAAACAAAAAGAACAAAAAATACAACAACAACAAAAAAACCCCAGCACTTGGAAACCAAACTTTTCTTCTGTATGGCATTTACAGTGAGCAGACTTGAAGATGTGTCATGTTATCATCTGCAAGTGAGTCAAGTCATTTTTCTGAATCAAATGCTTATTATAGAAAACAATCTAAGGAACCTTTATGTCAGACACCAGTTGGTCAGCTTTTATTTATACAGGCAGCATGATGGGCTATTTTGTCATGCTCTGTATCTCATTCATTTTGAAGCTTGCCCTTTAAGAGCTGCTTCTATTGTGATCTGAGTGGTTGTTGTTATATGATGATCACCATTAACCTAGAACCCACTGTAACAGTGACCAACAAATAAATGTAGTGTCCTGTTTCTAAATAACAGTAAAGCCCTAATGCTTTCATAAATTGGCTCTCCTATATGATTTTGTCTGGGTCCTGCTTGCAACTTTGGGCTCCTAGTTTTCTGTTCCACAGCTATAATGAGATACTACCAGAAACAAAGGCAAATGTGCTACTCCAGATGTGGCCCTACTCACTGTTCCTATAAAGCCACCATGGCATGATGAGGAGATAAATTATTGTTTCCGTTTTTCTTTTTTTTCTCCATAAAATTTTTATTATGCATTTAATTTTTTTCACATGCACACATAAAAAGAAAATAGAAAAGGGGATGAAGGTTGTGGAGCTCTGATTAATAGATTTGATATAAATGCCTACTATATCACTGAGGAAAGGGATGTTGATTGAGGGGGAAGATACTTATGCTTGCTATAATTATTACACCTATATCTTCAATTCAAGTACAATTATACACATCATCTGAAGTTATGAAAGCACCAAATATCCTCTATAACAAAACAGAACACACTTTTGTCATCCGATGTCAAAACTAGAAGTCATAACTTCTCATATAGACGACACAGCCGGACTAGATCCCTTCCAGTCCGGCTTCCGTGCAGGGCACGGGACAGAGACTGTGCTGGTCTCCATCACAGATCACCTTCGATGCCAGCTTGACCAGGGCAGGTCAGCACTGCTTGTGTTATTGGATCTCACAGCAGCATTTGACACAGTCGACCACAATCTTTTGACCCACCGCCTTGCTGTTGCTGGAGTCAGGGGGACAGCTTTAAACTGGCTGTCCTCCTTTCTTCACAACCGTGGACAGTGAGTGGAGAGGGGAGGCCTGGTCTCCGAGAGGTCCCCTCTATCTTGTGGGGTTCCTCAGGGGGCCATTCTCTCCCCTCTGTTGTTTAACATCTATATGCGACCACTTGCTTAGCTGGTTCGAGGTTTTAGGCTTGAGTGTTATCAGTACACTGATGGCACTCAGCTGGTGCTGAAGATGGAAGGCCGACGGACTCTGTACCCGATTGTTTCCATCAGTGCCTCGAGGCCGTTACTGGATGGCTGCGTGCTAGCAGGTTGAGGGTGAATCCAGCAAAGACGGAGATCCTATGGCTGGGTCAACCGGGCAGTGGGGATATCCAGCTGCCTACCCTGGATGGCAAGGCGCTACGCCCGTCATCATTGGTAAAGAGTCTGGGAGTCCTTTTGGACCCTCTGCTGACGATGGAGGCCCAGGTCTCCGCTGTTAGCAGAACCGCCTTTTTCCATCTGCGGCAGGCCCCCTACCTGTCCAGGGACGACCTAGCTATGGTGATCCAGGCCACGGTCATCTCAAGACTGGACTACTGTAACGCCCTCTACATTGGCCTTCCTCTGTCGGTGATCCGGAAGCTCAAGTTGGTACAAAATGCAGCTGCTCGGCTTCTTGCGGGAATTCCGATGAGATGCCACATAACCCCAATCTTACTACAGCTGCATTGGTTACCAATTGAGCACCGGATCACTTTCAAAGTGATGGTACTCACCTTTAAGGCCTTGCATGGTCTGGGGCCGATGTACCTGAGGGACCGCCTCACCCCCTACCAACCCCAGAGATCCCTCCGTTCTGAGGACCAAGATTTGTTGGAAATTCCCAGTGTCAAGACCTTGCGTCTAACAGCAACCAGACGCAGAGCCTTCACAGCAGTGGCACCATCACTCTGGAATACTCTGCCACCTGAAGTCCGTGCCTTGCGGGACTTACCAGCTTTCCGCAGGGCATGTAAGACATACCTGTTTCAACAGGCTTTTAATGTTTGATATGCTGTTTTTAAATTGTTTTAAATTGCTTTTAAATTTTGTTAGATTTTAGCCATTCTTGTAAGCCGCTCCGAGCCCCAGGGGAGTGGCGGCATATAAGTTCAAATAATAAATAAATAAAATAAATAAATATTATCCAATGTTCTTCCAATATTCTTTTCCAGTTCTTGACATGTATTTTATCTATTTTTACTATTGCCATATAAATCTGAAAATTAAATTCCATTTGTTACTAAATTAACACTTTATAAGAGAATTTACTGTTATATTGCCATGTTTTCTTCTTCTTCTAAACACTACACAAACATAATTATGTGTGTATGTATATATGTATTTCTGTAATTATAAAATATCTAAATAACAAGGATTGCAACCATTTCTATTCTAATTAAAGATTACTGATAGGTTAATTATCTAAAGTCTCTTGAATGTGGAGTATATAAATGGTTCAAATATATCTATATATTATTAATATTAGTCAACAAATCCTGCTATGGTGATCTTCTTTTGATTCTTTAAAAATTCAATAAAGGGTTTTCATTCTTGAAGTTTCTGTGTATTTGTTTGTCAAAGAGATAAAGTTAATTTATCAGTTTTGGCCATTTCAAAAGCTTTTGTAATCTAATCTTCTGGTGTTGATATATTTGTTGTTCCCATAAAAAGGTAAAGCTTTCCCCTTAACATTAAATCTAGTTGTGTCCCACTCTGGGGGGTAGTGCTCGTCTCCATTTCTCAGCCAAAGAGCCAGCGTTGTCCATAGACGTCTCAAGGTCATGTGGCTGGCATGACTGCATGGAATGCCATTACCTTTCCGCAGAAGTGGTACCTATTGATCTATTCGCATTTTGCATGTTTTCGAACTGCAAGCTTGGCAGAAGCTGCAGCTAACAGCGGGAGCTCACCACTGCTTCTCGGATTCAAATCGCCAACCTTATGGTCAGCAAGTTCAGCAGCCCCGCAATTTAACCCGCTGTGCCACTGGGAGCTCCCATAGTTTTGCATATTTAATTTTTGTTGCTGTCGTCATATAAAGAAATATTGTTTCCATTTTATTCAAAGTCAGGAATGTGTGTGTGTTAGAGAGAGGCCTTACCCTTCATCCCATTTAAGCTACAATATATTAAGCATGTTTTAAACCATCTTGGGCCCTAAGATACAAATGTAAAAGGCAAAATATGAAAAAAAAATGCTGTAAATAAAATATGGACTGCATATCTAAAAGAACAGACTGATGTAGTGCACCTATTATAGAATCCTAGAATTGGAAGAGAAAAGGGCCATCCAGCCAACCTCCTGCCGTGCATGAAAATACAATCAAAGCACCCCTGACAGATGGCCATCCAGCCTCTGCTTAAAAATCTCCACAGAAGAAGACTCTACCACCCCGTGAGGCAGCAAATTCCATTGCAAAACACTCACAAAAGCTCAGCTGACGACTTTCACAGAATTCTGCATATTGTGCAGAGTCCATCATTCGTGCTTGTCTCTCTGCTCTCTGAAAATAATTAAAGAAAACTTGTTATTCATATACTTGAGAACACACACAAATTCTTAGATCTGATATCATTATTAAGTTATTGCCATTATTTAAGATTCTGAAAGACAAACCTGTGTGGAAACCAAGCATTACAAATTGTATAATCTATAGTCATACATTGCATGCAGGCCCGTAGCCAGGATTTTGATTCGGGGGAGGGGGGGGGGGGCTGAGTTTGATTCGGGGGGGGGCTGAATTTGATTTGGGGGGCTGAGTTTGATTCGGGGGTGAGTTTGATTCGGGGGGCTGAGTTTGATTCGGGGGGCTGAGTTTGATTGGGGGCTGAGTTTGATTCGGGGGCTGAGTTTGATTCGGGGGAGGCTGATTCGTGGTGGGGCTGAGTTTGATTCGGGGGCGAGTTTGATTTGGGGTGGGGCTGAGTTTGATTCGTGGGGGGCTGAGTTTGATTCACAGGGGGCTGAGTTTGATTCGCGGGGGGGCTGAGTTTGATTCGTGGTGGGGCTGAGTTTGATTCGGGGGCGAGTTTGATTTGGGGTGGGGCTGAGTTTGATTCGTGGGGGGCTGAGTTTGATTCACAGGGGGCTGAGTTTGATTCGTGGTGGGGCTGAGTTTGATTCGGGGGCGAGTTTGATTTGGGGTGGGGCTGAGTTTGATTCGTGGGGGGCTGAGTTTGATTCACAGGGGGCTGAGTTTGATTCGCGGGGGGGCTGAGTTTGATTCGTGGTGGGGCTGAGTTTGATTCGGGGGCGAGTTTGATTTGGGGTGGGGCAGAGTTTGATTCGTGGGGGGCTGAGTTTGATTCACAGGGGGCTGAGTTTGATTCGCGGGGGGGCTGAGTTTGATTCGGGGTGGGGCTGAGTTTGATTTGGGGTGGGGCTGAGTTTGATTTGGGGTGGGGCTGACTTTGAATCGGAGGGGCTGAGTTTGATTCAGGATGGGGATGAGTTTGATTCAAGGGGGGGGGGGCTGAGGCTCTATCCTAGCAAACCTTTTGTATTGTTATCCCAATACCCCCATATCATTATCTGGTAATCAGATCATGATATGAATAAACATAACAGTTTAAATAATGTACCAGTAAGGCCTTCTCACAGACCACCCTGAGAATTTCAGGGGGGGCTGAAGGCCCTCAAGCCCCCCCCCCCCAACAGCTACATGCCTGATTGAATGCATCATTTACTGCACACATTATAATAGTTTTCTACATCAAACCAAATATAATGTTTCATTGGTTAGCCAAGATTAATTTTAAAGAGCAAAAAAAATTTCCAGGTAATATCTTTACTGTATAACTATTGTTTAAAAGGCATGTTTGTGAGAACCTCAAAAAACAGCACTGTTAATATTACCCCTCAATAAGCTCTCCAAGGAGATAGCCATAAACTGTAGAGAAAATCAGTCCAGTGATACTTTTGTCCAAATATCTATTCAACTTCCAAGAAAGATTGGGATTTGTTTATTGCCTTATTATAATATGGGGGATCTTTATCAATTGTGAGATTTATGAATTAGCGCAGTCTTATTAAAAGTAGAAGGGTGATTATATAATATCATTTAAGGCAGGGGTCCCCAAGTTAAGGCCCTCCAAGTGTCTTTTAGCATACCCCTTGTTTAATGCAAATAAAGTTAAACAGCAACACCACCTGCACTTATGTTTTGTATCACAAATTCCTGAGGAAGAAGTATGCTTCCCCAAACAGTACTTTGTAATTTGCGCAATCCAATCATACAAATCAGGGAAACACAAGCTACATCAAGGAGTTTGTCTTCATAGGCTACAAAATACCCAATTCATAAGTGCATCTACACTGTAGAATTAATGTAGTGTTGACTGCTATGGCTCAATGCTATGGAATCAGGAAGGTGTAATTGTACAAGGCCTTCAGCCTTCTCTACCAAAGACTGCAGGTGCTTAACTAAATTAAAGTCCACATGATTCCATATCAACGAGCCCTCAAACAGCATTATTCCTGGGTTGTTGTAGGTTTTTTCGGGGCTGTTTGGCTATGTTCTAGAGGCATTCTCTCCTAGAGGCCTCTAGAACATGGCCATACAGCCCGAAAAAACCTACAACAACCCAGTGATTCCAGCTATGAAAGCCTTCGACAAGGCATTACTCCTAGAGTGTAAGGTAGGTAAAGGTTGTCCCCTGACATTAAGTCCAGTCATGTCTGACTCTGGGGTGTGGTGATCATCTTCATTTCTAAGCCGAAGAGCCGGCGTTGTCCATAGACATCTCCAAGGTCATGTGGACGGCGTGACTGCATGGAGTGCCGTTACCTTCCTGCCGGAGCGGTACCTATTGATCTACTCACATTTGCATGTTTTTGAACTGCTAGGTTGGCAGAAGCTAGGGCTGACAGCAGAAGCTCACGCCGCTCCCCGGAATCAAACCTGCGACATTTCGGTCAACAAGCTCAGCGGCTCCGCACTTTAACCTACTGTGCCACCGGGGGCTCCTATAGTGTACCATGAGATATATGCATGCCAAACCATAAGAATGCCACCAGAAGCCATGATTGATTCTTTTTTTTCCTGCCATATTTGAATTCATTATTTCAGCTTAGATAGTGAATGCAAAGAACTGAACATGAAAAAGGCAAGACAAGAAAAAGACGTGACTGAGTTGCAGAGTGAAAAATATGGAAGAAAGAGCAATGAGAAGGAGCTCTACAATGTTTTGTGCCATTGAATTGCCAAATATAGGGCAACACAAAGCACATAAAGATCATCGATTCGCATGTATTCCTAGCTAAAGGAAAGCTCCTTTTAATGAAGAGAAATATGAAAATGTTACTAAACACAATTGAGTTGAAAATTCCAATAAAATCCCACAGGATCTTAAAACGTTTCTCAGTACTTTCATTATACAATTTATCTGAGTTTTTCTGCTTAAATCCTCTTTGCACTTAAACAGAAGTGATAAAAAGGGCAAAAGGGCACAAATCATCTAAAATATGAGCCATGTTTTGGGTCTTATGCTGAAGTCAGAAAACATTTTTGTGACACTGTGATGGATGTTGTGATAAAATTGCAGCTTTGGCAATATAGAGCAGATACACAGGCCATTCTTTGTTATCTTACTTATCCTTGCATTAGACTCTTATTTCTGTCCAATCCATTTGAATGAGTATGTAAGAAGCAGCTGACTTTGATGTCATGCCGCCGCTTTCTTCATAGACATTGTCCTGACTCTCCTATACACCAAAGGCAGAATACAATCCACCCTGAAAGGGCTCCAAGAGAACTTGGGATCTCTCCCCCCCCCCCCCTTTTGGTTTAAAATAATCCATGGGATTTCCCGTGTGTGCATTACTCTCTTAGGAAAATCTGGGAGAAACACAGCAAGCTGATAAAATTTTCAGTCCTCTTTCTTTGGGAGGAAATTGTAGAAACAACACAATTCTGTTTTCTAGCATCTTTGGTTGATTAGCATAGAGTTCTGAAGTTGGAAGAGACCCCAAAGGCCATCCAGTCAAACCCCCTGCCGTGCAGGAACACATAATCAAAACACTCCTAACAGATGGTCATCCAGCCTCTACTTACAAACCTCCAGAGCAGGTTCATGGAGTGATGGAAACAAAAATACTGAATGTTCACATATATTATTACATCAGTGTTTACATGCTTACCATTCCAAAATCATTTCTAAAAACTACCATTAGTAAGAGGAAGACTTCTAGGTCAGATTACACAGCGTAGCAATTTATCCTTAAAAAGTTGTGTACAATGAATTTTATCTTGTTTATTTATTATTAAATTTGGCAATCAATAAAAAATTAAAAAGAAACAACAGAGACAGACTTTAAAATAAGAAACCCACCCCAGCAACTAAGACTAATAACTAAGCCCTATCACTTGTTTTTTTATGAATAATAATAATAATAATAATAATAATAATAATGTCGCCATACCAGGTGACAGCCAAATTGAGGAAAAACAGCAGGAAAAACTCAGCCATTATCAAGACCTCAAAATCGAACTGCACAGGCTCTGACATAAACCAGTACAAGTGATCCCAGTGGTCATCGGCACACTGGGTGCCGTGCCAAAATACCTCAGCCGGCATTTGGAAACAATAAACATTGACAAAATCACGATCTGTCAGCTGCAAAAGGCCACCTTACTTGGATCTGAACACATCATTCAAAAATACATCACACAGTCCTATATGCTTGGGAAGTGTTCAACTTATGATACGAAATCCAGCATATATATCTCGTTTGCTGTGACATACTGTGTTTTTGTGTCAGAATAATAATAATAATAATAATAATAATAATAATAATAATAATAATAAATCAAATCAAATCATTTATTTCGGTCGTTGACATTTTCATACAAACTTGGTATGTTTGGTACAGTAAAAATATAAATATAACTACTGAAGCCCAATATGGGTGAGGGAGCGGAAGGGGAAACAGGATAAAAACATACAATGCAAGATCCATCACCAAATTATAGATTTAGGGAAGAAGATTACTGGACACACACTTAACTTTTAAGACTAGTCATTCCCTGACGGATTTTGTATGCTGCTGCACAGAACTTTGCAACATTGTAGGTTGTAGCTGAATTAGTATCTGCAAGGAGCAGGGAGGTATAAAATTGTCCGGAAGGCCTGAGTGCTTGTATATCAGAGGTAAGATAAGCCTGGCACGGATATCCCTGTAGAACGGGCACTGAATAATAATAATAATAATAATAATAATAATAATAATAATTGACATCACGATTGTGGAAAAGAAAAAAGTCTGGATTATTGATGTCGCCATACCAGGTGACAGTCGCATTGAGGAAAAACAACAGGAAAAACTCAGCCACTATCAAGACCTCAAAATCAAACTGCAAAGGCTCTGGCATAAACCAGTACAGTTGGTCCCAGTGGTTATCGGCACACTGGGTGCCGTGCCAAAGGATCTCAGCCGGCATTTGGAAACAATAAATATCGACAAAATCACGATCTGTCAACTGCAAAAGGCCACCTTACTTGGATC